TAAGTTATTAAAGTCTTATTAAACTGTACTTGTTTAAGAAACCAGAAAATAAGGAAAGGTTAGGCAGGGGTAATTGACCTTGATCATGAAGATGGAGCAAGGCTACCGTTACACCATAGGTAATCCATTTGGGTGAGTTTTGGTGTACTCTCTTTCCCAGTTTGGTGTTAAATGGACAAGTGCATGAGCCACTGCCTGGAAATGACAAAAGATGCTCAGATCCCTCAGGTAATAGGCTCAGTACCACTCTTCCAGATGAGCCTCCTGGACCAGCAAAGTTACTAACCAAGGATGAGAGGAATCTAAAACGGATAGCGGAGGAGGGAAACCAGCATGTTTAATCGTGCCTTCAGAAGCTTATTTCACTAAGCCCCCTCTTAACCTGTTTCCCTAAAGAGCAAGACTAATCAGAATCTCAGAGGTTTTCTCAGAAGTAATGCCTTTACTATAAGAAATAGATGGGTTGGTGTGACAGAAGGGGTGGGCTGTCGTGAATTCCATTGTATTTTTCACAATCACGAAGGGGATGGAATCATTCATTCTCCAAGTTACCGGGAATATTTGCTACTGGCCGCTAATACCCCTCCCCACCTCAGAGGCAGTCCATTTCCTGAGACTGAATGATGAGAAGTTTCCAAGACCTGGCCTTTTTGCCTCGATTGACTAAGGCTTCTATTATAATTATATCACACTTAAAATTTCTCCCTCCATTCAGTTCTGCTTCCCTCATTTTTCGATTGGGAAAATATTCTTCTCAATACGGTTATTGCATCAATATCCCTCTCAGAGTTTATTTGCCTTTGCCAGAGAATCTGACCTTAGATGTTCCAAAATACATTCACTGAAGGATGTATAAAGCCATTAAGTGGTTGATGTCATCTATCAGCAGACATGCATCATCTCGTCTGGTTCACAGTTACAGCCCCCTTAACATAACCATGAAAATGCACTTACACCCTTCTGCATGGACCCTTAAGTTTGGGGATGTCCTGTGAGAGCACGTGAGAGTCATTCTGCTGTTTCTGTGTCATTCCAGGACGTGGGAACCCATAGAGCTGTCTCTTACCCGGTCTGCCTGAGTTCTCTGTGCAGCCATTCTCATCCTCTCTCTCTTTCTTTGGTTTTGCTGCCTGCCTCAGCTTTTAGTTGTTCTAATACTGAAGTCTCTTCTTGGAAGGCCAGTTGGCCCCTATGTGGAGTCCCAATGCATGTTTCTCTGCTCACCACTTCCTGTCTGCTCCCTTCTCTCCTTTTGTACAGGGAGAAGATTTCAACTCTTGGGGGAAGGGTGTTAGTTGAAGAAATCACTTCTCACACCCTCAGAGTAACTAAAGTCAGCCTTTCTCCTTATGTAAGGATACAGTCTTTTGAAACAGGAAACAATGGTGGTCTTCAACACATTTGGTTTTGTTTGATTGCAGCCCTCCCTTAAGGCAGTGAATGAAGAAGGCTTCGATGGTTGAATTGGACAGAGTAAAGATGGGTGATGGAAGCAAATATTTGTAAATATCCATAAAATATCAGTTAATATGATTTTTTCAAAAACATAATCCTACTACATCTAGCACTTTATTGTGGTGGATATCCATTTACCCTCCAAAATTCTGTTAAAGCATCAATCTCTCTTTTTTTTAAAAATCTAAGAGCTAATATACTGTTCTGTGCGTTGGGTGTTAAAAATTGTGTGATGTTATCATTGTCCTTGTTATTGAAATTGTTAATTCTAGCCAGCACAGAAGATAATGAAATGCATAATTCGAAATATAAATATTAACATTAGATGCTTGAAACTCACTGTTGACCATATCAACCATACCGGTGGGAGTTCACAGTCCTCTCCTCGCGGTCGGCCAACTTAGGTTCCCTTTGATATTTTGACATTTTGATATATAGACATCTTTCTTAGTGGTCACAAGAATGTATAATGTTCACACACTTCAGTGATTCACTGTAGTCCACATTTGTAAGTAAATACCTCACTTTCTGGTTAATTAATGAGATTTCATGAATGAAGCTGACATTATGAAATAAAGGGTGACTATGGAGAGAAAGCAAACCAAATTCAGGATCCAGGTTCTCCTTCCCTTCTATTTGTCCGTGAGATGAGTAAGACAAGTGCCAAGATGATTTAAGGTAACAAGGGTTTGGCTTTATCACTAGAAGAGATAACTTGATCAATAGAAAACCATATTCATTTATGGTAATTATTAAGAAAATGCACATAAACTAACAATGATGCACCATGTCATGACTCTTAAATTGTCAAAGATAAATACAATGATTTCTGTGGGCTCAAAAACTGGACATTTTTTACTTACCTCGCAGGGCTATAAATTGGCTGCCTCTTTCAGAAAGGAAATTCGATAATTTGAGACAAGAGTCTCAAAATACTTGGTTCCATATTCAGGGATTTATCCTAGAGGAAATTACCAGAGATGAGACAAAGATTTATATACAAGAATGCTTACTGAATATTATTTATAATAACAAAATTTTAGAACCAACCCAATGTCTGGCAATAGAGGGATAAATAAATGATATCATGGTTGTACTATGAAATAATGTGCATCAATTCAAAATTTTGAACATTTAATGACATAGAAGATGCTTATGACATTGTATTAAATAAGTACTGTATACACAGAATAATCTGGATTTTATAAGAAGGGAATAACCATGTTGGTGTAAAAAATTCCAGGATGAACCAACCCTTCCAACACCTTGACCTTGGACTTCTGGTCTCTAGAGCTATAATACAATAAATTTCTGTTGTTTAAGGAAAAAATTATTCCAAGAGGAAAATACATCGAAGTATGAAAAATGTTTTTCTTGGGAAAGCAGATTTAAGGGGAGTTTTAATTTTTCCTTATAATTTCTGTACTTTCAAAATTTTCTGCATTGGCAGTGTATTACTTATAATTATGAAAGAACAATAGAAGTATTCTCATACAAGGGATGTCTGTCTCTGGTGACAACACTGGTGTCTTCATGTGGTGAGGAAGAAAGCATTCCATATGCACATAGTGCAATGCAGGGGTGGACAGATCTGAGGTTCATTTCCTCTAAGTGCCCACCATCTTCTGTCTTCCTCAAAGTCTCAGCCTTTTTTTTTTTTTTTTTTGCCATGCTTATATTATGGGCACAGTATTAAAGCTCAATTTCTTCCTTTGTAGGGTGCCAATGGGAATCGATCTCTCTTGTTATTGTTTGATAATCACTTACTTAAATGCTTCATTCCTAACTATCCATGATTTGGAAACTTCTTTCTCAGAAACAGCAAACATGTTAAGCTTTAAGACAACCACAGAATTTTGTGGCTTGTAGCCTTTCTCAACTACTGCGGCATGAACTTTGACTTACACCCTGGAGGATATTGGTAACAAAAGAATTTAAGCATCACTGGGAAGGAGAAAATGTCCACTTCTAGAAAAACAACAATAGCGAGTTCCTGGTTTCTGTATCTACTGCATTAGAAAAGAAGTTATTAGGAACTATGTATGAACCGAAACTCAGGCAGTGCCGAATGGAATGCAAGGTTGCAATGATTAGTATTTCTCCAAGGAAAATGTTTTTTTCATCTGGTTCTATATATTGCTTTTGCTTTGATTCACCCCTTCTAAGATTTCTCCCAGCACCGGCTTTACAGAGTGTGATATAGAACATAAATGACAACAAATAAAATGCTGTAAAATTGCCATATGTTTTCTAAGAATACAGGAAATACAGGAAAACATTTCTTTTTTCTTCCCTCTGTTCCTCCATCCCTCCCTTTCCTCCTTCCTCTCTTGTTCTCATTCTCTCAGTCTCTCTATCTCTGCTTCATGATTTGGGTTGTTCCATAAAGTCTGATCCTACTTGTTTCTTTAGGAGTAAGCATATATAAAATGTTAGTTTTAACACGCATAATCTATGGCTGCTGTGATAAGATATCACAAGGATATTCACAGAAAAAGCATCTTTTCTAATTTTTAGCCTTTGAGATGCCTGTGGCTGTTTCTGAACGATTTACTCACTGTGGATTCAAAACCAGGGAAAGTCTTGTTTCTTTTCTTTTTTTTCAATAATTTTACCGAACATCTGCTAAGAGCCCCCAGGGGTATATTTTGCACAGGACTGAAAAATGCCTGTTGGTAATGTTAAAAGCCTGCTACTTTTGGAATACGTAACACAGTTAATATGCATTATGATTTAATAAATCCATGAATGGATATTATATGGAGATTGCAGGCCAGCTGTTCTCTTCTAAAGGAAGCCAGGGGAGCGGGCTGCAGCTCGAGGATTCGGGTTTAATATGAGGAGCTGGAAGAAGTTGCTAGGGAGATTTCTGAAGATCCTTGCTCAGAATGGTGAATGTTGTTGGCTCTGGCCTGTGATTTCCAAGTCTTGCAAGTTAAAAAAAGACCAAAATATCGACTTGGATTTTAAACTTAGCTGAAAATCATTTTATTCACTGGAACAGGTTCTCAAGCAGTACTGAAAGAAGGAGTAACATTTTCACTCAAAACTTCTGGAGTTAAAATAAGCCCTGTTCACACTCCCCTCTACTGTCTCAACATAGCAAAAACTAAATCCCCACGGATCATTGAAGCGACTTCAGGCCTCGCACCAAACCTTTACCCTTACAGCTTTCTCACAGGGAAGACTCAACAAACACTCTGTCATTACCCTGCCAGCCAGAGACAGTCCTGTGCTAACCCCTGAAACAACAATAGTTCCTTCAACTTACACAATAATCTGCTAATGGCAAATGCTTTCTGGTTTAGTATCTCATTGGATCTTCTCAAAGATCCTGTAAATCAGATATTATCATCCCCATTTTCTGGTAAGAATGGTGAGAATCATGGGGTGACCTATGCAGAATTACCTCCTCTGTGTGTGTCAACACCAGAGCGAAAGCCAGTTTTTTGAATTCTAGTTAAGGGCTCTTAGTCCTTGTAGCTCAATAAGTTTAATGCACTCATTCTTTTTTCTTTTTCCAAATGCATTTCGTCTTCTGACAGTGTGGCCGATGTGTCTAGAATGACTCTGGATGTCCACCCTTCTAAGAAAACTGCGAGGGGGAAACTCAGGCTGGAGCCGGATGCAGGACGTTCCTACTCATCCGTCCACTGTAAGTGCGGAGGGCCCGGCTCTCCCACTCACCAACTGTGAGGCAAGTGACTTAACATCTGTAGGTCTTAGTGTCGTTGTCTGTATAAATGGAAATAATAGTCCCTACCTTGAAGGGCTGTTGTGAGTGAAAATTGAGTTAGTGTGTGGCAGGTGTTTGGAACAAACTGTGTTTGAAACGAAATAAGTGGAGTGAAAATGTTGGTTAATATTACAAATTTGCCTTCGACTCTAGAGTGCAAGCTTGGCTTTCTGATATGACAACAGGATAATTGATTTTATTAAAATTATCTATAAATACACCTCTTTTTAAGGACCTGGAAGAATGAGGGATGAATAGAAACCAGCAGCTTATCAGTCAGCGGGAGAGACAGAAAATGCATGCACATGTCTGTAGTCCAGGGCATAATCATGTAAGGTGAGAGCACAAAGGGAAGAGGCATTCTTAACAGCTGGAAGGGGCTGATAAGATTTCTAGAAGTGGTGGGGCTATGTCGTTTGCCTTAAATCTCCACAGAGCCGGGCTCAGAGGCTGCTGCATAGAAGGTGCTCAGTGGATATATGTAGGTTGACTGAGTATGGCAGGTGGAGGTCTAGTATTCAGGCAAAGTTTCCTGGAAGGGGAAATACGATAAACCATACATGGAGGCATGACAAGGATTCGTTTAGGAAGTTCATGGCTGGTGGATTCATGGGTTACAAAGATAAGTTGAATCCTAGATATCAGATGGTCTTGAATGACAGTCTACAGATTTGTTTATTGTGGTACCCGGTGGAGACAAGCAGAGCATCAGATAGTTCAAAGAAGAATTCAGGATGATTGGATATGAACTATAGAACTGCGCCTCTTATGAATTTGGAGAATGTTAGGACTAGTGGTCTGGTGTTCAAATATTATCAGGACTACAGACACTCTTGTAAGATCGCCAAGGAAAATGACCATGTTGGGAGTCAAACACAAAGAACAGCAGAACGAGATTTTATTATTAGTTGAGTCTTCTGTTCTCACCTCCCAAGAACTCTGGTAAGATGGACTTGGAATGTGGCATGCAGACTCGGAGCGTAAGGAACCTCTTCGCTGTTCCTAATCCTAGACCCGAACCTGGGCACTGTGCTGCTGCTAGCCTCACGGAGCCACGGGCGCTTTGGAGATTAGAGGACTGAAATATACATGAAAGAGAATTGATGGGCAAGACAACTGGATGACTCAGTCTTCCCTGTGTGGGAGAGGTCCTGGGCCGCTTTGCCATTCCTGGTCCATAAAAGGAGAAAGCAAAAGAAAGAGTCATACTTATGGGTGTGGTTATTAATCCACAGTGACCCTTCTCATTAGTAAATGCAGCCCAGGCACATGCTTGGAATCTGACTCATTAAGTGAGTGTCCCTCCTCCTAGAGAGAAAGAAAAGAGAAAGCACAGGGGAAAGTAGATGTTTGTCTTTTCAGAGAGCTACCTGGAAGATGGCTTAAAGAGGAGAACTTTTGGAGGTAGACAGAATTTGAGCTAGGTCAGTGTTCATAGGACTGAAAAGGTTTGATTTCAAAGGAATTGAAGAATCTCCACCTAGCCAACATATTAATGCTAACTGCATTCCCTGTGCCGTGTTCCCCATCCCCGGGACTGTCTATCAGCTACTAATTTGTACTTCTTTAACCGTTCACCCCATTCTCCCAGCCCCACAACGTGGAGGGCCAGGGGAAGGAGGGAGCAATTGGGACCGTTTTATGAACTATATAGATGTCTAACCAATGTATACTTAAAACTGCTTAAAATAAACAAGTAAATTTAAAAAAAAAACGGAAATAAAATGTTACAAATAAAATGAAAAAAAATAAATTGAAGAATCTGATCTGATATTGGGATGAGGTTTAATAATGTTGACGATAATGATTAGATTCCCATCTCCAGCGACTGGGGGGATGGCGCTGCCACCATTTACTGAGATAAGCAGTGAAGAACTCATCGTGATTTCTGTTCTTTTGCAGTTTTAGTGTAGACTTAAAAAAATCTGCTGGTATCCTAAGGCTACCTCCAAGCTAAGCAGAGCTGTAAGTTAATTAACAAGTCATACTACAGTGTTAAGAAAAAGGGAGGGATGAAAATCACCCTTTCTCTTTTCTTAGAGAGATAAAAAACCAGAAGGTAGAATTCTTCAGGAAGGAAGTAGACTCGGAGTCCTGGAACAAATGGCTGCTTGTTTGGCATCCTTTGTGTGTCTCAGAGGACCTCAGAAAAATCTATAAGGGATGCTTAAAGCTTTTGGAAGAATTATGTCAAAAAATTTTTTTGAAAGACATCAGTCAGAAATTACTCTCAGAGAACCTTGGCTCTGGGAATTGTTTTTAAGTACATGGGGAAAAAAGAAGAGACTCATCTTTATAGCCAACAATCATATTTTAAAAAGATAAAGAATGTATCATTGGTGAATATCTTCTCCCAATCGGTAGGATGTCTTTTTGTTTTGTTAATGGTTTCCTTTGCCGTGCAAAAACTTTTTTGGTTTGTTGTAGTCCCATTCATTCACTCATTCATTTAATTTAATTTAATTTTTTTGTTTCCCTTACCTGAGGAGATATATCAAAAACAAAAAACAAAAAACAAGAACAAAAAAAAAAAAACAAAAAACAAACTAATAAGAGCAGTGGCAGGGAGTTTACTGCCTGTGTTTTCTTCTAGGAGTTTCATAGGTTCAGGTCTTACATTTAAGTCTTTAATCAATTTTGAGTTTATCTTTGTATAGTGAGAGAAAGCAGTCTAGTTTCACTTATTTTTTTGGATGTATCTGTCCAGTTTTCCCATTGCCATTTATTGAATAGACTGTCTTTACCCCATTGTATATTCTTGCTCCTTGGTCACAGGTGAACTGACCACATAGGTGCGGGTTCACGTCTGGGCTTTCTGTTCTGTTTCATTGACCTGTGTATCTGTTTTTATGCTAGTGTCATGCCATTTTGATTACTATAGCATTGCAATAACAAACAACAAATGTTGGTGAGGATGTGGAGAGGAAGGACTCCTCATGTGTTGTTGGTGAGATTGCAAATTGTTGCAGCTACTATAAAAAACAATATGGAGGTTCCTCAAAAACATTAAAAATAGAACTACCATATGACCCAGCAGTTCTGCTCTTATGTATTTATCCAAAGAAATCCCAAACACTAATACGAAGAGATATATGCACCCCTATGCTCACTGCAGCCTTATTTACAATAACCAAGAAATGGAAGCAGCCTAAGTACCCATCAACAGGTGATTGGTAAAGAAAATGTGGTACATATATACAATGAAATATTACTTGGCTGTAAAAAAGAATGAAATCTTACCATATGTGACAGCATGGATGGACCTAGAGGATATTATGGTGAAATAAGTCAGACAGAGAAATATAAATACCATATCATTTTACTTATATGTGAAGTCTAAAGAACAAAGTAAATGAATAAACAAAACAGAAACGGACTCATAGATACAGAGAACAAACTGATGGTTGCCAGGTGAGAGAGCAGTTGGGAGACTAGGTGAACATGATAAAGGGATTAAGAAGTACAAATTGGTGGTTACGAAACGGTCACAGGGATGTAAAGTGCTGCATAGGGAAAGGATATAGTCAATAACATGGTAACTATGTATGGTGCCGGGAGGAGGCACTTTATAAATTATATTCTATACTTTAGACCTGAAACTAATGTAAAATAATATTAAATGTCAACTGTGATTGAAAAAAAATAGAAAAATTTCCAAAAAAATAATAATAAAAAGAAGAAGGAAAGGAGGAAGTGGTGAATCTAAGCTCATGGAGGGAGATATGTGTATATGTATCTTAGCTTTTGTTCTGAAGTCACTGAAGGGAGCTGGTAATGGGTGCAGGAGACATGACTGAGGTAAGTGCTAAAATATAGTTAATATCAGGTTAATATTTCGGAAAACAGGAAAAACTGGTGATGGAGAAAGGACACCAACTCACTGATAGCTAACATGTAATTTGAGAGAACACTATAGTTGATGAAGATCAAATCCAGGCATAGATCAAAAGGCCCAGTGACTGGATACTTAGGCAATCATCAGAGACAAGAACAGACGGTGGCCAAGATCCAATGTGGTAGTTTGTACCATGAGAGAGAGGGAAAAAAAAAAAAAAGCCTGGAACTTTGGCCAATGGCTGGGGAAATTATAAGAACTCAGCATATAAGTAGGAAGAATGCCAGGAAGAAAGACCTTGGTATGTGAGAGAACTCAGTGTTTTCACTCAGGTTCTTGTTAGAAGAGCCAGTCGTCAGGTTGGGTTACCTTGATTCTATATAAAAGAATGAGTAAGCTCTTCGTGTATGCATACGGAATGATCACACAGAGCAAAACAAACGAAATACAGAGCACTTGGAATAGTATGCTAGCAATTGTGTAAATAAAAGGTGCTTGGGTATCTTTCTGTCTATTTATCTATCTATCTACCTACCTACCTACCTACCTACCTACCTACCTTAGAACTTCTGGAAGAATCCACAAGATTCTGTAATAGTGGTTGCTTGATTATTGGTAATGGTGATGGTGAGGAACTGGGCAAAAAGAAATAGAGGGTAAAGAAGACTTTAACTTATGCCTATCAATTATTATATGACCTATGGAAAACTTAAAGATGTACATTTTAAAGAGAGTGTGCCGTTTGGGGATCTCATACGAGAGTAAAGGAGGTTATACTCTGAGAAAGGATGGAAAATGAGGTGAGCAGTCATCTCAGTTGATGAAAGGTAGCATTTAGTTTTAACAAGTTGTTTCTGATATACATCACCCATAATTTGTGTTTAATGTGTGAGTTAAAAACCTTAATCAGATCAAATGTGTGAAATGAGTCTAGATTAAAGACACATTTCCTTGGAGAATAGAAATCAATCAAAACCACCCACTTTGGGGGCTGAGTGGATCTTCAACTCTCTTTTGCTATCTTTAGCAGCATAGTTAAAATTCTGGGACAAACCTAAGGGATGAAAAAACTCCTGGTGTATGAAACTGTGAAGTCTATTCCGTGTGGCAGTGGCTTTGTGGTAGAGCTCTTCCTAATTGCAGGTGGGTTCCCCCCACCCCCCTATTTGGTGATAGCAAGGTTTTGGTTTAAAAACGCAAACTAATCAACCCACAAACTCAACTAAATCCAACAAAACAAACCAGAAAAGGGAGACAGAGATGATGGTGATAATGAAGAACACTTGTACTTCACAGTTGTGCCCAGGACTAGGTTTGCCTGAAACACTTATATATTAAATCACAGCT